CGCTATTAGGTTGGAGGTCATTGCTACTAGGTCGGAGGCCATCGCTATTAGGTTGGAGGTCATTTATAAGGATGGTATCCTGAAGCCTCAAGCAGAGAGGATCGGCGATCCCAGCTTGCACACGATGGTGGAAGGTCTTGAACGAGGTTCGTCTTGATTGACTTTGGCACCAACCGGTCAACCCGGGCAGTGAGGATCATAGCTGAAAAGGCGAATGCTATGTCTCTCTTCGACCGGCATCTGTACAATCGGTCGCTCATGAGGATGCTCTTCTACGGGGTGACCAAGGGTCACTGAAGACTGGTACATCATGTAATGCAAAGGTAGGGTTAATAAACCCCCCTAGTTAAACCGAGCCCACACAGCCCCGAAAATTTATCCAAATTGAAAGTAGTATTGGAGTTAAATTCCTCCCCTAATAGTGCACTTGTCATCTAGAAACCCCCCCCCCCCACAACCAGGTCAATTTTTCCTACTACTACTACTACTACTACTCCTCCTCCTCCTGCTGCTGGTGCTGCTGCTGCTGCTACTGCTACTACTGCTACGACTACGACTACGACTACCACTCCTACCACTACCACTACTCCCTGAGTATTCAGGGGAGGTGGACCTCATGAATCGTACCTCAGACCTTCTAGACCTTCCACGTGGGGGGGGTTTATTAATCCGGGGTTTGCATTATGCAATTCAAAGGAATTGAAGTCACTGACGCCGCTAAGTCCCTCCTTGAATACCTTCAAACGACTGCGCAGGTAGCAACTGAGCACCAAACAATATTGGAGCAAGGCAAATTTTGAGCGAATTTGGTGGGTCCCTACCTGTCCCTGACGGACGCTACAAACAGCTAGGAGACCAACTTGGCCAACTCTTCCTCCTTGTGCCAGCTATTGAAGACTGGTTGTGGTGCGCTGGCGGTTGCGGATTTGACCTGGCCCGAAGCTTGGCCGCATTCGCAAGAATTGTGTGGCGGGCTGACCTGCTTTGCTCCGGACGCAGGAGAACAAACAGACATCTGAATCCAACCACTGATGGACAGTCGGCGAAGCAGCACTAAAACTCTCAGCTAAGGCTCCTCAGACATGTAAATTCCTTCTGCTTTGCTCGGCTCCAGAAATTGCGCCGCAACAGCAGCTACACGGAACACCTCGGGCGCAAACAGCACCACCTAAGGCATCAGAAAACGTCAAGGAAACCGCAAGGGCCTCCAACCTAGAAGCACTGCCAACATCTGTGATCATTCTTCCAGGGAGGTGTAGCAAATCCTTTTTCCATGAACTGAGGCGAACGCACACCAGGGAGGATCGGAACAACTTTACGATATGGTCAGGGTAACGGGATGACAACCGGTGGAACGTCCTTCCTTTTCTTTGTTTCTTGGTTTCTGATAGCGACTGGTGATGGCCTCCAACCTAAGAGAAAGGATGGGAAACCCTTTAGATCTCTCTGTTTTCGTGGAAATGCCGAACACAGCCCGATTGCCGGAAGGCGATAAACCAAGTGAGCACACTGACAAAACAAATCAAAACAGGACTTCGCTTGCTTTTTCGATGTTTTTCCTGATGCTTTGGAAAAACAAGACCTCCTCAACCTCCTTTGCAACATCCCTCCGGAACTGCACCGGAACCTGAAACCGCTGTGCTGGGGCTGCCTACCTTGCTTTTGGGGCTGACATGAAACCAAAGGCCTTGATGTTCCTACCATTGTCAAGCTCAAGGAAATATGTTGACAAGCTCAAGGAACTACCCTTCATTTGCATGAGGAAGCGTGTTGAACATGAATAGCACGGGACTCGTCACCTCACCATTGCGGCACAGCGGCCTGGCTTCCCTCCACGAGCCACTGGGCTTTTTGCCCGTCCATCCAAACGCCTCCCGCCACACTTCCTAATGGCCTCCAACCGAAAAGAACATAAAGAGCAGACTTTAAAGGAACCTACTTTACTAGTGATGGCCTCCACCCGACTAGCAGGGAAAGAGTTGGGAAAGGAGCTGCGAGATAGCTATATAGTAGTTCTAAAAGCTGCAAAGGCAAGGGGAACTCCACAGCACCGGAATGATCGTTTTCTGCCGTGTTAACAAACAAACACTAAAAAACGACAGGCTCGAAAGCGCAATGATGTGAGGCAATTGACAAATCAGGTGTGATATGACACGTGATATGAATGGCAAACAGCAAAGGACTGGGTGTGAAGCACCAAGGGCCAAATGCGGACTTGATCCCACAACATGAAATTTTAAAGAACTTTTTGTCTATGCCGTTTATCACGGCATGTCACGTCCACATCTTTTCTTAGGTAGCAGGCTGTTAAGCGCACTGCCGAGTCCGTTTCTTTGCGCTATAGCCGCTATACTCTGACACTGGGCAGATTTCGTAGGTGCAATCACACACACACACACCAGGATTGATATAGGACATCCATGGTTAACCACTCTCCCACAGCACACTTCAAAGCGAGATTGCCCACGAGGACACCCTATCAAAAAGCATGAGCAGTCTTCTTCCATCTTGTTTCCTGACGGCATCCTTTCCAAAGAAATCCAAACAGCCTTTGCAAAGGTTGGCCCTGGCAACCTCAAGACCCTCTTTGTTATTGGCTGATCGCAATCCAAAACAGGCCCATGTTATTTCCTTCTGCACTGGCTTGGCGCCTTTACCTCTTTGGTAATGTTTGGAGAACTATGGGCGACTGTGCACTGGTTTCTTAGAAGATGGCCGCCACTCGAGACTGCGAATGCGGTGTGGCAGAAAAAGACCGTTACCGGTGTTCATCTCCGGAAAAGTCTTCGTTCGACTTCCTAATGGCAATGGTCTTCAGCCCACTAGCGATATAACCTCCCACCTACTAGCGATGGCCTCCAACTAGCAATGGCCTCCAACCTACAAGCGATGGC